GATGCGAATGCAGGCTCTGGTCATTAGGCAGCGCATTCTCGGACCCACTCATCCGGACACCAGCTACTACATTCGATTTAGGTATTTAACTCACATTGTATTTCCCTATGGCATTATCTAATCAACTTTATATCGTTTCAGGGGCGCTCACTATGCGGACGCAGGGCGCTTCGATCGCTGCATCGAGCTGTGGTCCTATGCGCTCACTATGCAACAGAAGATTCTACAGCCACTCAGCCCGATGACGCAGTCCTCGCTGCTGTCCTTCGCCGAGCTGTTCAGCTTCATGCTGGTTGAGGCCGGTCGCCTGCTGCCGAGAGGTCGAGTGGTTCCGCCCATCGAGGCGGACGGCATGCTGACGATCTTCTACAAGGCGGTCAAAGAGGTTGAGCGCGGTCAGGCTTTCACGCTGGAGCAGCAGAAGGACCAGCAGCAACCGCAAAAGCAGCTGCCAGCAGCTGACAAATCGCCATCCTGTTCGGCTTCCTCATCCGCATCTTCCTCCTCCTCAACGACGCTGCTTTCGGCCCATCAGCACGATTGTAATCACGATCCCAATGCCCTGAGTCGCACCATGATAAGTGCCATTCACATAGGCTGTCTGCTGAGCTCCCTGCTAGACACAGACGCCCTGAACCCAGAGATGCGTCGCCAGGTGATGGGAGCGCTGTACCGCCTGAATCGCTTGAAGGTGCGCGTAAGGTTCGATCGCACCGCCTTGCACTACGCCTGCTATCGGGAGGGTACGCTGGCCGGCCGCTATCCCTCATGCCAGTTCCCCTCGGTGACGCTGGCGAAAGCCTTGCTGGAGGTGGGAGCAGATCCGAATGCCATCGACGAAGCGGGCAACACGCCACTCCATTTGGCTACCATGCAGCCCTATGTGGAGCCCCTGTCGCACATCCTGCTCGAGGGCGGAGCGCATTTGGTGAGTATGGTATCGAGGGCCGTTCCGTTGACCGTACTAATATGATTCTCTTCTCCTAAAAGGACACCAAAAACTATGCTGGCGAGACGTTTGAGAGTCTGCTGGCCCCCACGCCCATGCATAAGATCATCGACCCAATGAAGTACACAACGCTGACGTGTTTGGCCGCAAGGACGATCAAGAAGCATGACATTCGCTACGAGGGAAGCGTACCAGCCACTCTGTACGAGTTCATCGAGCTGCACTAGAGACGAGGATCGGGACGAGGACTGGACGCAAGTCAAGCACTCAATTCACTCAATCACTCAATTGATCACTAGATGGAGCAATCGATCTACAGCCTGCCCGCCCGCCATCCATTAAATAATATCTACTACTACTATGACTACCGTCTATTTACTGTATAATTAAAGATGGAGAGAGAGTTTGAAACTATGCTGAATGATGAAAAGTGTGAAAAATGGACGAGATCGTTACTAACGACTAGAAACTGATTTGTGATGTTAGCAAGCGAAGTGCCTGAATCGACGGATCAGGACGAAAACTACAACTGACAACGATAACAAAACAGAAGCCAACAAAAGAATACCAGGCAGACAACTCATAGCAACGCGAAGAAAAGTTCTGGAAGAGGTCTTTGCTGTCTTTGAATTTTGCTTGCGAAATATGTTGAAACTTTCTTTTTAATTATGTGTTCTTGCTACTACATTTTGTATGACTTATCATTAATAGAATATTGTATGTACGTGTACTATAATACCAAAAGCCTGGGCGTGATTGATCAGCTTAATTTTAATTATCTGGCACAAAGCCGACTCCTCAACGCTGGAGCAATCACGCCCAAGCCGCGGAAAATCCAAAAACCAGAATACCTAAAAAAAAAAAACAAAACAAAAAAATTACCGACCACCACACACAACTCACGACTTAGTGATGCGTTTGTTTATAAACGAAAAAACGAAGTTTTGGAAATATACAATGTGTAATTAACACCATTAATCAACTATTGGTTTATACCTGGAATTATAAATACTAACTCCCAAGCTACATAGCCCTGACTCAAAGAACCCAAATGCAAAACCCTAATGTATGATATCTACGTGTGCAAATGTGTAATATCAGCTCATTCTGATCACAGGAATGTTTTTTTTTGTTTGTACTTGCATAGACTCAGCTTATCGGAGGAGTTTTAGTTGCAGCGCATCGAATTGCCTGGCGAAATACACCGGTGTCTAGAAAAATTAATTGCAAAAGGTGAAAATATCTAATATATAAAAGCTTTGTATAATTTTCTAAAAGGTATCTGTAAATACTTTCACTGAGTTCACATTAAATCAGAATTGGCATATTAGCTAAAGATGGTTTTTTGAATTGCAAATCATCATCCAAATGCAATTTCAAATTATCAGTTATTAGGTCATCGAATTTCGCCATTTTAGCTATAGAACAGCTGAATACACATATTTTAAACGGTAGTCAAAAATTACTGTGGTTGGCTATTTACTTGGCCAACGTTTCAACAGTAACGTACGTGTTTCTAGCCACCAATGTGTTCTGAAAAGCAGTTCGATGTGCATTCATTAGGCTTATGCAAACGTATAATTACGACTATTGTATCTATGCTAAGCACTGCAAATGCTAAGTTGCAACGCAAGTCGAGTTTGGCTCCATGGAAAAGGAGGTGGGTTGTGGAGCTTTAATCTGCAATTGTGTTTGGTAAACTACACTGTGCGAAAAAAAATGTTCAAAACTATTTTTAATTGGAATATGTTCATTTTTTAAATACTCGTTTCTTCAAAATGTTGAAAGGAAGACAAAATCACTTAAAAAGTTCAAATTTATGTTGCACTGTATGTTAGGTTTGTGCTAGGGGACATTTTTTTGCCTGTACTTGATTTTTCGGTGTGTATGTAAAGCCTTATTTTAAAGAATATTTTCGAGACAGAAATAAAGCTGATAACTATTTTAATTAAATGACTATAAAAGCGGGCTAGCAGTTGTAGTTTGCTCACAGCTTAAGAAATGTTACTTCAAACTGTTCGGTATCTGCTTTTGGCGACTTTTCTTGGACCCATCCTGGTGACGTCCGACGGAATCGAGTCCTACGAGAACTACTATAACGAGATCCATGTGGATGACGAGCAGGCCGAGGCCAAGACCCGAAATGCGTTGACTTCTCCGCTCCAGCGCTGGCCTGGCAATAAGGTATACTACCGCATATCTACGGACTACAGTGAACAGGAGGTGGCCAATGTGCGGACAGCAATGTCGAGTTTTGGCGAGCACACCTGCGTGCAGTTCGAGGAGATCGAAGGATCTCCTCCCGCAGGCCGACGATATGTGTCCTTCAAGAAATCGCCCAATATGTGCGGCACTCGGGTGGGCTATCAACCCTTGTCCTTTGGTCCGCACGAAGTTCTCCTTAACGAGAGATGCCTCACCATGCCGGCCGTGATTCAACACGAATCCCTTCACCTGCTGGGCCTGTTCCACGAGCAGAGTCGTCCAGACCGAGATGAGTACGTGAAAATCGACTACGACAACATCCCGAGGAAATACTGGTCACAGTTCATGGCCATGGACCAGACAACCACCTTTAATGTCCCCTACGACTATGAGAGCGTTATGCACTATTCTAAAAACGCCTTCGCCAAGGATCCCTCGAAGCCAACTATTCGAGCCCTGATCGATGGTAAGGCTGTGGAGAGGGAAATGGGTCAGGTGCGGGGACCTTCTGAAGGGGATTGGACCAAAATTCGATTGATGTACAAGTGCTAGAGTGGCGGAAGAAGTCTGCAGGGAGTGGGATTGGTTAATAAATATCTTGCGTTCTGAAGTGGATGTGTTTAAATGTGTTTGGAGATCTGCATTTCAATATGGTAACCATTAAAACGATTGCCGAATGACTAAATAAATTAAGGACTAAAGTAAATTAGGGCTAAATCATTAAATCCCACATCCTCGAAAAGTGCTACTCGTTTAATGCCAATCAGGCAATGTCCGTTAACTAGAAAAACGTTTCTCCAGCCTCTTGGAAATGGGCAGTTGCTCGAACATAAAGGAAATCCAAATCCAAGCCCAAGGCGAATGCATTTGATTTCACAGAAGTGCAAGTGTAAGTGTCAGTTAACTTTGAAGCAGACTAAGGAGCAGCAGAGGAAGAAAGCGGGGCTTTCCGATGCTGAATGGGGTCCGGCGTGGATTGGGCATGAGTCCAAACGACTGGGCAGCAAACAATCCAAGTCCCTGGCACTTAATGTGCACTAAGTGCCCAAGAAGGCCGAGTGTCTGGAGCTGCCTATTAGAAGTCTCCCACTCCCCTGTCCAGTGGCCACCCACTTTGGAACAAGATAGCGTTTTATGGCTTTTGGAATTTAAACACCGTTTTCCAAAGCTCTGACAGCACTAGTTATACAAGAAGAATCACCTAAGCCCATGTGTAAGAACATATCTTTAAGCAAATTCTTTTGCCCACATTTGTTTGCCCATATTTGTTTGAAACGTAGCCTTCTACCAATTACTTGGAAATGAACTAGCTCATATGCTAAGATAAGAATAATATTTACTGAAAGGTGACGAATAATGTTTAATAGCGGTGACCTTTAAAGAAATTCGTCGGAAAAGAACCTAGCTAATAAATGGCACTTTCATAGATGTCCCTCAAGGCAGTAAGCGAGTATTCCTTTCTTATTAGCAGCCACATTCAAGGAATTTAGAAAAGGTGGCTTTAGGGATAAAATAAATAAGAAATTAAGAGCACTCGCGTTTCAGTTTACCCTTCTAAGTGGTACAAAATAGCACCATTGGCAAGTGTTGAATTCTGTAAAGCAGGGCAAAGAGTTGTGGCACCGTGAGGATGCCAACAGATGGCCATTAAATGCTGGCCTTAAGAGAGCAGGATGTGAAAGAGACAGCGAGCGTTTCGGGAAGTTCGAAAGTGGCATTGGTGAGAGGGAAATCCGACTGGAAGGGAGTTGGCGGGATGAATGCATTTTGCCCCACTGTGCTAGGCGGAAAAGCTCGCTCTCTCGCCAAAAAGGGGAAGAGGAAAATGGGAGCTTTGGCTGGTCGCCAGGCTTTTCAAGCCGACGCCGTTCGTGTGGCTTTCAGTGTATTCAGTGCAGTCGTATCGTTCGGTTCGTTCTCACGGTGAAAAGCGGTGGAAGGTCCTGTTCGGAGGACAACCTCAATACGCCACTCACACACGCACATGTGGGCTTACTCACACGGACACGGGTGCGCTAGTCGAAAGTAAAAGTTGTCCAGTGTGCAATAAAGGTAAATAATAAATAAGCAAATGTGAAATATACGCACGCAATGTGAAAGTAAGGAAATATATGAAAAAATGTTCGGAAATATGAAAATTCAGACCTGCGTGCCAGGATGCAAAATCAAGTATGCAACACTCAAGTGAAACGAATATCGCGAATCAAAGTGTGCGCGATCCTTGAATATTCTAGTACGAAATACTGCACAAGTACTGAAATATTAAGCCAGACTAAACCTGAAACCTGAACCGAACCTGCCCCAACTGATCCTTCACCTCAATGCTCACCTGTCAAGGCCACACGGCGGCTGTGGAATATTAACATACACAGCCAACTCACACAACAAATTGTATTCAGCTTTATTCAGTTTTTTAGGACCACCAAGGTCGTCCGAGAATTAAAAAAAAATAATAATAAAAAAAACTTTGAGTTATCCTTTTTAAATTTCACGGAAAATGTTGCGATTTTCCTTCTGAACTTTTGCTTTTTAACTTTTTTCTTTCGCATTCCCTTTGGGGCCATAAATTAGGGTCGCATTCCGCGTAACCGGGAATATTTGCATAAAATGGGAAAAAGGGCGAGAAATGGTTTAAATACGGGAATCACACGGCTCAGATATTCAACACATGAAAGAAAGGGGCAAATAAAAGGAGTCCACAGGCCTTGATGGGGTGAGATAAAGCAAACATTAAAGTCCCTTTATATAGATGATAAAAAATTGAAAAAAGTGAAAATTAACACTGGCAAAATTGCGAGGTTCATAACGATCCGGTACCGAAACTCTTGAGTAAACTTAAGTTTTATCAAAACGCATTTAATCAACGAAAAGTGACAACAAACAGGAGCAAAGGACAAAGGCAGCGCGGCAAGGTAAGCCCTTTTCATTTTATTGAGCTAATTATCCAATAATTTCTTATTTCGTTGTCTATTTAACAATAGTTATGTATTGCCTTACAAAAAAGAAAAAAAAAGACATCAACATAGTCCCACACATTTGTGTCATTGTTTGAGTTAGAATGGTGCGTTGGTTTTTCCAGTGGCGGAAAAGCCGAGCCAACGGGCGGTACGGTTACATTTTTGTTTATTGTGTTTTTTTCGCTGTTTCACTTTGCTGCGGTTGGATGTTGGTCATGAAAAGGTTGACAGGGGGGAAGGGGGCTTGGATTGCCAGCTCAATTTAATTATGAAAATGTCAAGAATTTCTCTGGCACACACGTGCCTAAGCATACAGGTGGGTGGGATTCCAATCAACTTATTGAATGTTGTAGTGAAAGGATCCAGAAATCTCATAAAAGCTGATGCTAAGACTAAGTGATAAGTGTGTGTTAAAAATAATGATGGATATTTTTATTTAAATAACGAACACCGTGACATAAATAATATTTTAGAAACGGAATATAGACAAACATCTTTGAGATCTGGTTGTTAAATGAAATTTTAGCAGGCAACTGGTCTTAAACCTTATTTGGTTTGTTTTAAAACGTAATTAAGTTCTCTTGGAAACATACTAACAAGCCAATTTAAACTCTTTCAGATTAGGAAAATGCATTAGCCAATTATCCATTAATTAACTGAGCTTATAGTTTGTATCTCTAAAATCCATAAATTCGAACTGCAAAGGCTACATATAAATGGGTCATGTGAGATTTCTAATTTTCAGTTTTACTAAGAGTCGTAGTTTTCCAGTCATGCAGCACATATTTCTGAGGCGACCGCCACAAATTTCCATTACCAAGATTGCCTTAGAAAATATGCTTAAGCTGCACCTTTGACCGCTTTTCCAACACCATTTCCTGCGAGCTCAGAAAAGGTAACTAAGACTTTCCGCCCGGCAAGATTGCTATTTTATGCAAGACATTTCTCGGAAAATAAAACAACATTTTATTTACACGCTGCTTCAGCAAGGTCATATACTATGGCTGGGATATGGAACTTTGCGTTCCAAAAAGTTGCCCAAATACATAAATTATTTTTATTGTACTTAACCTTTTCCTTGCCTTGACTTTCCTCTTCATTGTCTGTCCCAAATCAGCTTAAGTCACACAAAAACGAAATTCATAAGCTTGCTTTAACGTGCGAGTAACCGAAAGATACAAATAAGTAAAGTAGGCTTTCAAAGTTGTCTGTTCTCTATACAAATTAAAATAGCTTACTCATATACTCGTACTCATATTTGGAGTCAAATTGCTTTCACATTGTGGTTGAGCCTGGAAGATTTCAGATCGACACTTAAAACCCCTCCTGTTACTTAAAAAAGGATTATAAAATTGAGCAAATTACAAGCAAAAAATTGTATTTTATGTGAATGGCTTCCTCGAATTCATTGAAATGGATTGATGCAAAAAGTAACTGTAGCTGATTAAATTTGCTTATGACTCTGTGACCTGAATATATTTTTCTATTTAATCAGCTTACAATTGTTGCAGTATTTTAAAATTGCACAATAAATTTGAATATACGATGCAAGTGCAACACAAAATGCTTCCATTATATTTGCTTTGCCATTGACGTATTTACTTGATTTAAATTTTTATGAATACCTTTTGTTTACTACTGCAACTCTTTGAAAGTCCAATTTTGAATGAATGAAATATTATGCAAATGTTTGATAAATAGCAGGAAATCAAAAACAAACAAAAGAAGAAAATTGTCGAGCGAAAAAATAATAGATGGGAATCAGACACAATTGAAACCGAGAAAAGACATAATTAAAAGAAATATATATATGCTCCTATATATTATATATGCGTGCGTATGGGTGTTAATCAAACGTAATTACTCTGGTCATGCATATTTGATTAATCGGTGCGAAGGAAGGTCCTGTGGTCGTGTTCCACTTTTGTTCGACCTGACAGCTGTCGCTTTAAATGTCAATGCATTGATGACCCATCACTTTCAATGTCCACTTCAATGGGCCATGCCCCACTTAACATTAAAAGGATAGCCCGCTCAAAAAATAGTCGAACCAGAAAAGAGTACAAAAATGCTTCGCTCTGAAATGTTTGGTTTAAAAACCATTTATTTGAAAGTTTTGACGATTTTTACTGCATTGATATTAAAGTAATATTTTATAGTATTGTATAAGCATTGGTGCCGGGAATTTCGTCTAGTCGTATATAAAAAGAATATGCTGTTTTTGCGGTGGAAAGGATTAACTTATCCCCTTGGACTGAGCCATTGTATGGGTGGCCGCCCAGTTTTTAATGGAAATTTTAATGAGACGTCGGTCTTTAATTATGCATGGGCTTGGACCTGGGTTCAGGTGTTCTTTCAATGGCTGATGCTCGGTGGGCGGTGTAGTGGGGGGTGGTGGTCGGTGGGTGGTGGGTGGTGGGTGCTGTTCGGTGGGCGGTTGGGAGGGAGCGTGGTTAGCCGGTCACGCCCTGGCACTTACAACTTAATGCCCGGCCATCAGCGTGACGTGCTTAACACAGGACGGACCTTGGCACTAATTAAAACTAACCACCGACAGCAGCCAGAGAAAAATGCTTGAGAAAAGGAAAAATTACGGCAGGCTTCACCTTGAGCTTTTCCTATGCCACATTTCGACAGTTTTCCTCGGCGCCGTCCATTGTTGGCCGGCGAAAGTTTTGTGGCACATTTCTCTCGCATTTGCCACGCATCGACACGCCGAACTGGGGGCTGCTGCATATTTTGTCAGGCTCTGACATTGCACTTGATGACTTTTCCATCCCCAGCTGCCCCATCTGCCCCATCTGCCCCATCTGCCACATCTGCCCGCAAGGGGAGCACATTTTTTTGCAACTTTCAAAGCGCCAGGGAGGCGGTGGGCTTAAAAGTTTCGGCGACTCAGCTCGACAGTTTTAAATGAAACTTTTGCTGTAACTTACACTGTGACGAGTCCTGGGTTTTGTTTCATTCCCCAACGATTTTTTGTCGCCTTTTGTTTAACGCTTTGTGCCCCATTATTTTGGATTCTGTCAGGCACTTTGTATCTTGCCTCCACCATGGTAGCATTCCGCCTTTCGCTTGTCGCGAAAATGAATAATGAAAGTTGTAAATAGACATAATATGATCAGCGCTGGGAGGCATTAGTGGAAAGTTTTTCGGAAAATGGAATGCAAGTGCTCTCCTGGGTGTGCACACAAATGTCGAATCGAGTGAAAAGTTATCTTTAATTTAGCCAGTTTGCTGTTGCTCGTCCTTTTCTCAAGATCTCGAGTTGGGAAAGGATTTATAGCGAAAGTTGCTGGGGGAACAAAAATTAATGCGACCTGAACTTTTAATGCGTTTTATCAGTTGTTATTTATATTTCGTAAAGTTGCCATTATTTTTGCCCCCACCAAAAAGAAGGTACAGGAAAATCCTAGAAGCATTTCCTACAAGATTGTTATCTTTGGTCTATTTTCTTCTACTCTTATTGTTTTTTACTTTTAAAATGTGTTTCAATATGAATAGTATTTTGCCCTAAATAAATGCAAATTAAAATTCCTTGCTGGGCCCCGGCTCACCAGAAATTCCAAACTTCGGGCACTGGCCAATTTAATTTATTATTTGTTGCTTTTTTAATAAAAATACATTACGATATTGCCAGCGCAGCGCGAATTTCAGCGTCATCCCCACAATTTCTTGGATTGGGAAAACTGTTGTCACCAGTTACAGAAACACATTCATAAAGCAAACAGAGCCAATCCAGCAGACAGGCGAGCCACGCGCCGCGGAGATAATGTAATATATATTTCTATATGTAAGGAATGGGAATGGGAATGGAAATGGGACCCACATTTTCTTTTCAGGTGGAAAGGGCAGAGTTTTCGGGCATTTTTTGGGTATTTTCCGAGCAGCAACAACAGCACGTGCCGACCAAGGCACCAACACAAACATACACCCACACACACACACACAAATTTCCATTTATTTTGACATTGACGTTTGAATTTTTAATGAAATTCCAAACATTTTTAACGCCCCGAAACGGTTCTGTTTGTCCTTTTCATTCGCAGGCAGCTGAGTCCTGGCATCCTGCAATCCTGGATGGGCAGCAATTGGCTAATGAAGATGAAGTGAGATTGTGTTCGAGCCGAAATTAAATAGAATATAAATCGCTGGAAAAATGGCGGCGATTTGTCAGCCTTTGTCGAGCAGAACAAATGCAAAGTAGTTCCACGGCCAGCAGAAGGATAAACTATAGAAGGGAAATTCACAAGTGAATTTCCTTTCCTTTCGGCTTCTTCCAGCGGCAATTTCACGCATCGCGGCAGAATGATGATGACGGCAGGCGCTAATCAGGCCGCCCCCAGCCACGCCCCCCATCTAGTCCACAAACACATTTTCAAATAGGTTTTCGAGGCGGAAAAGAGCAAACGGGAGCAAGGGAAATCCGCATAGGAGCGCAGGGGCTGGCACCACGCTCGCTAGTGAAATATTATGGCAACTTTTCAAATGGAAATGCACCAGCAGCAGCATCAACGAACGAATTTAAGGCAACGAGCGGCGGCAGTGGCAGCATCCAAAGCCAGGCGACAACGACAACATCTGCAGCCGGAGTCCACTGACTCGCCACAATACGGCACCGATTGCATAAGACTGTGGCCAGGATGTGGCCCATCCACCGCTGACAGGGCCATCGGCAACTCACCCACCTGCAACAACACCAGCAGCAGCCACATCAGCCGCATCAGCGGCAACACGCGCAGCAGCAGCATCAGCAGCATCAGCGGTTGCAGCTGCAACTTCGGTCGGCAAAGAGCGCTGATTATGCTCAGTGTGCTCGTCGTTGTCATGGCTCTGATGTCTAATGGAGGTGAGTCATACCCTATTAATTTTGAATTCAATTAAATTTAAATTTAAAAAGTTCCATATACTTCAATTACTTTTTAAGCAAAGAGAGAAAACTATATGAAAATGTGCCATGTAGAGATTGAAATATCCCACGTTCAATAAATAATTAGATTATCTTATTCCCGAAAATGAACTATGCCCATTTTTCATAAGGCCAACTTACAATTTGGTAATCCAGTGTCGTAAAAAGTTTCCACTTTTGGCTGCACCAGAAAGTTCCCTTCCGAATGGCTTTTCCTCTGCCTTAATTCCGGCTACAGTTTTGGCTTTATCCACAGGCCAAGCTCATTTCCCATTCCAATTGCTTTTTTATGCGGCAGGCGCAAGACCAACAAACATGGTAAAACGAAAACTTTAATCAAATTTCGTGCTCCAGTTTCCCCCTTTTCTGTGTGCCCCAGTCGCAAAAGTGCAATTGTTGCCAAATTGATTTGACCAATTTCATTTATTGATTTCGATTTTCGATATCATTCATTTTGGCCGTTGTCATGCCCAAATGAGTCAGCAGAAAAGCGGAGCCAAATCAAAGCGAGCCGGAAAATCGAGAGGGAAAATCTATCAGCATCGAGTGGCCGGAAAAATGAGAGTGCGCCTCCTTGGCTCGGCGATTCCGTCCTTACATAATTTCAACGTCTTTCGTGTGCTGGTTTTACTCATTCTTTTTCTTTTTTTTTGTATTTTGTATTTTGTGTTCTGGGTTTTGTTGCCTTGTGGGCTCCGTTTTTAGGTTAGGTAATTAATTTTGTGTGCCTGAAAAGTCTTGGGAAATCAATGTTTTGGCTTGGCCAGAAGCAACTCCCAGGCGGTGTGGAAATTCCGAGCTCTGATTGCGTGGGTGTGGGCCCCGAAACGCCAAAACGCCCAAAACGCCGACGAGTGTGTGTGTGCGTTCATTCGACTTTCATTTTTCATATGCCGTGCGCCGGCTTAATGACGCGCCTGCCTTTGGGCCAAATTCGAATGCCAAAGGATTAGCGGCTGGAAGGAGTTAAGTCATCATTAGGCCCTAATGAACTGGGCAGTCGTGGGCCAGATCCGCAGATAAAGAACATGCCAACGGATATTCAAATTAGTTAGCAAGTATTTTCAAAGGAAACACAGTTCGCAGAAGTAGAGATTTATGTTCGGGTACATCTGTAAAATGGTAATACAATTTGTTAATTATCTGAAGTGCTTATAGGTTACTTACTTTTCGTATTTATCGAGAGCGCATCTATAAGTATTTCTATTCCCATTCTATTTGTAACTAAGCACCGACATCCAGCAAGTTTCGTGAAAAAAGAAATCTTATCTAGCGGCTGCTGAAGCAGGATTAAGGCTAACCAAGAATATTAACCTGCGGCTCGAATTACCTTGTCCGATTCCGTGGAAGCTCTCCACGCAATTCCTAAGAATAATCACCTAGCAAATTAAACAAAGATGAGAGGACTGCCACAAGGCCCAAGGCACCCTGACAAATGGAAACCTTTAAATATTTAAATATACAATTCCCGTGCAAATCGTTTGGGGAGTCACAAATGTTTTTTAATTTTTTAAGTGAATTTAAAAATTTAGGCGTGACTGTCGTTCCTCTGTTTCGCTGATGTTTCCTGACAGTTCACCTCAGAAGGCAGACAAACGCATGCATAACACGTGCGCGAGGGGGGACCCAAAAGTTTTGACATTTCAAATGTTTCTGACAACAAGAACCGCCACCGAACTGCGCCACCCTCGTTAATAATAACTGTGCGGGCGTAATAATTCAGCAAGCCAGTGGAAAGAGATGGCAGGATGGGCTGCAGAAAGGGAGGGAAGAACAGGACCGAGAACAAGAACAAGACAAAGACGAGGCTACAGATGAGCAACAGGAACATGCCCTGCGGTCTACTTGTGTTCAAGTTGCTGACGTTGACGTCGACGAAACAAGCCGGGACATAAGACATGGGACTCAGGACCTGGTACTTGGTACTTGGGACTCCGGACACAGGACTCCGGACTCAGGATCCGGGACATGAGACGTGAACACGGCAAGGACTGCGCCTGCCACTGAAACTGCGACCCCGGTACACGACTTTCGGATTCCTGCAGGGCGCTTTTTAGCCAAAACAGAAATGGAGCCCAGAATAAAACCAAACATTTGATGGCAAACACGAAATGCGTTTCTTAATACCCTTTAAAAAACATAAGGTATTTTATTTCGCATTTCATTTTGTATAGCGAATTCGAATGCAACCCCAATCGGGTTTGCATCAGATTTTTGCAGATCAGAAGATTTGCATCAGAGTATACAGCATTCAAGATTATTTTTATAAATATTTTTAATATTCATTTTTATTTGACTTCTAGCATACTCTGGATTAACATCTAAAAATATATTCCCTCAATTTAGTGATTCCTTGCAAGGGCATAAAGATAATAAAGAAAGAAAATAAATATTTTCGCTGCTGGTCTAATTTATGTTTGGCAGCCAACAGTTGACGGTGCGGTCTTTTGTCCCAGGCAGTCAATTTATTTTAATTTCTAGCCCGAGGCGTTTTATTTATTATCATGTTTGGCCCGGTTGCCGCCCCTTCCGCCCCCTTCCGCCCCCTTTTCCCAACTCCCACGCAACAGAACATGGCTGGAGTCAGGTTATTAGCAACATTGTTTGGGTACTGCCAATTGAAGCCAGGCGGCAGACCAAAGAGCAGGGCCAAACTGCAGACGGCTCCCAACGCTTTGGCTGTCAATAGCATTTTGGCTTGGGAAAATGGAGGAGTAGCAGGATGGAGGATAGAAAACCTCTGAAGGAAGGCAAAAGGCGAAGCCGGAGAAGGAGCCGGAGCCAAAGCAGTTGAAGCTGGGGCAGATGATGAAGGATATTCGACTTATCTGGTACGAACATGGCCAGCGGGCCAATGCTGATGCTCAGCTAATAGTTTGGGTAGTAAACTGGCTGGCTCCAAAGGACAGGGGCTGGAACACAGCAGGGAAGCAGAGGGAGTGATAAGACGAGCATGCATGTGGGATATGTGTTTTGGCGATGAGCTCAGTCGCACAAAACGTGACCGGAACTTTCCCAGATACTAGACTTCGGATTTATCAGGCATTTTTAAAGACTGCACAAAAGCACAGAAACGATTTTAAGCAGCTCTGATTATATCTGCGCCTTGAAAATATTTTTTTAATAAAAAATATATGTTTGGCTTCCTATAAAATATTTCAAACCGACAATGCCACATCTTCGAACTCATCTGCGATTTTGGTCTGTTACTTGCAATTGGTGCACGCGGCGTATGAGTAATTTTTGATAAACAACCTGGCCAGAATCCAAAATATATTTCTGTTTTGCCCTCTTCACGGTGACCGAGTCACTGGAAGCATCTCAGTCCGTTCAGCGGACTGTTCGATGTCTGGGTCTTCGGGCGGCGACGTGCACAACATGCTTAATCTAATAAAGTCGCTAGCCAGACTTGCCGACTTGGTCCATAAAACTGGTGGAGGAGAGTGTCGTAAAGAGACGTTAGTGCTAGCTGCGATGTAATAAGCGTATCAAGTGCCCCGAGATATTTGCGAGGCATATTCGAGGGTTCTGTGGGTAGCAGCTTAGTTTCTGGCCCAGACGCAGTGGCGTTCTCGCAGCTAAGTGATGGATAAATGCCGGATAAAAATTGCTCTAACGACGACAACAACCAGTTTGCACACACACCCCCACACCCACACCCACACCCACACACACGCATTCGCCGTCGGGTTGTGCGGAAAAACATGAAAATTTGATAAACGAAAAATGGCGAACGAACAAAAAAAGTACGCTGAAAAATTGGGGAGAACACAACAAAAAATTTGATTTACCTTGCGTACCCACCTAAAACTTTGTTTACGCTCCCAAAAAAGTTGTAAACGTGTTTTTCCAATTTGGTATGAGTGTGTATGGTGTGTGTGTGTGTGTGCTTAATTCGCTAATTACCTAAATGGCAGCCACAAAAGGTGGAAGGTTTGGGAGTTGCGTTGTGGGCTGTTAAAAGTTCAAGCCAAACGAGTTACAAGGTTTCCCGGTTCGGGTTTCCAGTTCGCTTGTTATGGCCATCGATTGAAGGACTTTAAGGCAAAGTTTTTGAATTTGAAACATTTACGAGGGAAAACACCTTTCGGAATTACCATGGGCATTATTTAATTTAGGGTAGGTGACCTTGTCAAATGAATATTAATAAATAAGTACAACATTCAATTATAAAAAGAGATACGACTTAAATGTTTTCAAAGGCCTTTTTAAAATGTATTGATTAAGGGAATTATTTAAGCTTTGGTTGTGTATTGTGGTTTTCAAGACTGTAACATGTACAATGCAATTCCCTTTTCAGCTTACGCCGCTCAGCGCGACTCCTACAACTCGAAGGATATGAGTAGCAGTAACAATGCCCTGCCCAACGAAGGAGTGGGAGGATCTGCAGCTGGAGCAGGCGAGCCGGCTGCTCCTGGTCCCACTGGTGTCGCCGGAAGCGGAAGCGGCAACAATAGCAGCGGAAATAACAAAAACGGCCATCCCGCTGCCGGATCAAGCGCTGCCTCCGAATCCGATGCGCTGACAACCGATGCCAGTCGCAGATCCTCCGGCAGCCCCACCACCATCACGGGAATCCCGAGCAGCAGCCTCCACAAGGCCAGCAGCGCCAACAGCGCCAACAGCGCCAGCAGCAACATATTCTCCTCCCAGCTGGCATCCGGCTTCCATCGCAACAGCATCGATCTGGAGGAGGCCCGCAATGCGGGTCCCTACTTCGACAAGGCCTTCTCCAAGAACGTCACCGCCCTGCTGGGCAAGACGGCCTACTTGAACTGCCGAGTCAAGAATCTGGGCAATAAGACGGTGAGTTGCAATATATGTGTGGCAGGTTCGGACTCACTGGAAGGAAAACCAGTAAGGTGACCCTACTGATCCAAAAATGATATTGAAGTTTAAAATATTTGTCGGTTACGTTATGATTACTCCCTTACCTCTATCTAGAGTTTAGCGCCATAAATCACATGCTCGCCATCATTTGACTATTTGCCTTGTAATTATCGTGTAATTTCTTTGTCGTTGCCATCAAATTGCGATTTGTTGGCTGTGCATGAGTGGCTGCCCCACTGTGTATTCGGTTTTTCTGGCTGGCTAATTAGCACGTTGGCTGCTCCCAAATGCGGGGCGGAGTTTGGGCCTGCTGGCTAATTGTTCCGCTTGCCAGAGAACGCAATGATTAATTATACCCAAACAGGAAACAGATTTTACTTTATTCAACTTTTGCGTTGCGTCGTGAGCGGAAGGAAGTGCCGCAAACATTTCACAAACACAATCTCCAGCACCACCACTTCCACCTCCACTTCCGGTCGAGGCCTTCGCTCACCTGAACTATTCAAATGTAGCAAAAAGCCCCAAAATTCATTTAGTTTTTTTTTTTTTTTTTTTTTTTTTTTGCCTTCTCGGCAGGAGCTCAGTACCGTTACATCTAGACCGTAGTCACTTGGTTTCCGTCACTTCCGGCGGCGTCGACGACCGGAGAAGGTCCCTGCCCGTTTTTCCGATAATAATATGTTACATGTCCCGGAATTCGGGGCTTGCATGCACCACCTCCCTCCCACATTGGTGTTCCCATTTTGAGGGAAACTTTCTGGCAGCCAGTGATTAGCAAGAGGTTCTGGCTTGTTTGAGTTGCGGTTTCGAAAACTAATTTGCGTGATTATTAAATTGTACACAATGGGCTGGGGGAGCAGGCAACCTCAATTTGGGGTTGAGTATCGAGAGCGGGCTAAATGATTTCCACCTTGTGGTAGGACGATGCGAAAGTTTTGTGCTCGAGGATGTGCGACACACTACGTTCCCGGGATAACTTCATTAAACGTGTTAGGTGGCATAGCCGCATCGATCTCCTCCTTTGTGTCCTGGAGAACGAGTTAATTAAGGACAGGGAGCTCTTGGAAGTTTGGAGTTTGATGGTGATATTCGAAGGACTTTCTCAGTGAGCAGTGAACAGTGAATTGCATGCGAGAATAAACTTAAAGAATGTTGGTTTAACTATAAAGCATACTTTTTTAAGGTACTGAACAACATACAAATGGCTATGCTAGCAAGTAAGCCAATTATAGTTTGTACATTGTTTGTAACAAACATAATGTTCAAAATTCCTAAGACCTTAGATCCCTCCTATAAAATGCTATTCTGCAGACAGCTTAGGAAAATATCCATTTCTTGCTCATCAGCTGCCCGAAAAAACACCCAACACATTAGACAACCTGCAAAATATATTCATTACCTTCGTGTGGCAGCTTAAGATCTAATTAGCTTTCAGTTCTGCGGCAAGCCACAAGCCGCCCCAAAACCACCCACTTCCGCCCCATTTTTTCGCTCCCGCTTCTCCGACCTCCCCCCAACCTTTCCACCTGAAGTAATACATCATTGCTGCTGAGATTTGGCAGCATCTGGGTGAGAATTAAGCTGGTGCTGTGGGGAAAGTGCCAGGGAAAACGATGAAGAAAAATCCTTCTGTTTTACGCTTGTGTATGTACTACGTACGTACGTATATGTGTGCTCTTTGCTTCACACCGTCTATAATGATAAACAGCGTACGGATGTTGATGGTCCCTGCATTATTAATGACGTTTTTCATTTGCGCTTTGCTCGGGGAGAGCTTTATGTTTTAATGCCAGACACACACAGCCAAAGTCGGAAAAACCCGCTGCTTTTCCATAATTCCAAGGAAATACGGTGTACTATTTAGTGGAAAGGTGAAAGGTGCATGGGATAGAGATTTCTTTGGGCGGCTCAATCTTTGAAGAAATAATAATGGCGTGTAATTTATTAAAATTTGTATTTAGTTTTCGCAATATATCTTGGTACCTCACCAACGTTCCACGACTTCAAAGTGCTTTTTACCGCGAAATACATAATTTATATGAGTACGAGTATATCTTTTCTCGGCTTCACAAATTGAGCTGTAAAATAATATTTCCAGATTTTGATGTTCGTTTGGCAAGCAGTAAATGAAGGAAAATATTGATATGCTTAAAATTTTACGACACTGTAAACAAGCTTAATGCGCATAAAAAAGTTAAGGAGCGCGGCAAAAACCAGTGAAAATGTGTGTGGTTGTGCGTAAAAGTTGCTGCCCCACTCCACCTGTGCTGTGGTATCACTGCTGAAGGACTTCGGGTGTTAATTACATGCAACTTTGCTTAAGCAGCTGCCAAAGTTTACCTTTGTGTCTGGCAACTAACACCTGGTCCAAGGGCCACCCCCATCCACCCACCTATCATCGCTCATAGCTGCTCCTGCCTTCCTTCCTGCCCAGAGTTTCTTGTCCATTAACTTTGGCAAAGTCGTCCTCGACGTCGTCGTTCATCGTTAGGCAGGATGTTGCTAAGCTGTTGTCATTGAAATTGAAAATTCCCGCAGCTGACGTATGACACGCAACACAGCCAGGCGTGTCCTTCCCCACCCACTTGCCCTCCCACTTGCCCACCCACTTTCCCACCCCGCTCTTTCATCAGTGCCCCCCGCTCGAATTTGTTAACCCCCCTCGTGACTTAGGCAATCCCTAAATCAGCGTCACTTAAAAATGTTGCGCCCTCGGCGAGGAAAAGTCGAGCATTAAACAGCAGGTGGTTGGCAAAGGCGTGGTCCCAAGTGCACAGGGGAAAACAAAATATTATTAATAATTTAATTTGGTTTTTTTGCGCATTTATATTCAGCTACGGCGGAAATTTAATTCAGTTTGCAAATTAAAGTGCCTTGGGTCTCACATTTCTGGCAAAAAACTATATTTAGCAGCACTTGAGATATTGTAATTGGCGAACTCCATCCCAGCCTATGCGTTTTTCTTCTCAGTGTGGGCGTGTGTGCTAGCCCACACACATTGTTACAATCAATTTTTTGTCTGGCAAAGAAATCACTTCACCTGCTCTTGTCCTTTGAAAGTTTACCTTGGCAAGCGCAAGCAAAAAATCATATAAAATATTTCGAAATAAATTTGCATTTTACACGTGTGGCCCTGACACAAAGGGAACCCAACAGCACGCTTCATTCAAGCAGCTGCGTATGAAATTGACTTTTTAAACTGTTTGCCGAACAAATGAAATCCGAAATCTTAACTCCCGTGCTAAAACTTTGCTCTTCCTCTCAATCATTACAGATGTTGCTTCAGGTGTCGTGGGTGCGACATCGGGACATACATTTGCTGACAGTTGGCCGATACACATACACGTCGGATCAGCGCTTTCGGGCCATTCATCAGCCGCAAACTGAAGACTGGATGCTGCAAATCAAGTACCCGCAACATCGCGATTCCGGCATCTACGAGTGCCAGGTATCGACCACACCCCACATGAGTCACTACATTCACCTGAATGTCGTTGGTAAGTTGGGGAAGTCAAAAGTGTATTGTGCACATGTATAGTTTATGCTTAAGCTTTACTGCATTAAATGGGTGTAATTGCTGGCATGCAATATTACACCCATTGGTTACACTAAACTCCGCCAATATACTTGAAACTGCTGTTCAAATCAAATCCGGAAATGTTTCCTGCTACCATTTTTCTTATTGCACCAAATATATTGCCCGAGTGTTTGGAAAACTTGTGTTTCCTTATGAAATGAGCCCTTAACTCTTACGCGTTCAAGTTTGCTGAGAACTTAAACTCACTTTCTTTATAGACCCTTCTACAAAAAGTGTCCCTTCCATCCTTTCGAGAGGTTAAAGTTTCCGCGTTAAATTCTGATTGAATTAAATAACAAAAGAGTGTAGTATAATGGAAAATATTTTCATCTCCCTCTTCGCGCCTTTCAATTGCGTCTCTTGAAAAGGATGAACATGTTTTTCCTTTCACCTCGCTACCTTCATCACAGATGGAAATCTCGCTCTTAGCTAATTGATATTTTATTCCAGTTTGATTCACAATACAATTTTCTGCACTTCACCGTTTTAATTACCGTTTCCTTTTTCAGAACCCTCGACGGAAATCATCGGTGCACCCGATCTGTATATAGAAAGTGGTTCCACTATAAACCTTACCTGTATCATACAAAACTCACCGGAGCCGCCAGCCTATATCTTCTGGAATCATAATAATGCTGTGAGTCTGAGTTCCCTAATCCCAGACTCACTTTCATTTTCGGGGACAAGCAATTACTTTGGGGCGTCATTATCGCCTTCCTCCTCCCGAAAGAGCCAGAAAAGTGTGGAAACCCTTTAGTGTTCAATTTAGTAACTTTTAAATTAGCTTTGCCGAGCGAAAAGTTTCCTTCTTTCGGTTTTTTATATTAGGAAATGCCATTTAAGGAAGGAAGTGGAAGCAGAGCCTGGGGAAAAGGGTTCGGTTCCTGGCTTTAAATGGATTTCGGTTTTGTTTGGACTTGGCCACGTTTTAGTTTCCACTTTAGGTGTTTTCCCCACACTTCATGCTTTTGCCCCTGGCTTATTGTATTGGGTTTTAAGGGTTGACGGTCCTCTATTGTTATGTATTTTCTATAGAGGCTGTGACAAGAAAGGGAAAAAATATTGCCATTAGTGCTGACTCTTTCCCTTTTCTTTCCCTTGTGCTCCAAAGAGATTTAATTTTATTGTTTTGCTTCGGTTTTATTTGCAATCTGTCTATTCCTACGCCGCCCACTGACTTTAATTTGGCTAGTGTGCAACAGTGCGTATGCGTAATTTGGCCTAGGTTTTATGGCTTAGAAAATCGTGGAGTCCTCGCCCCCGCCCAACAGGAAATGTAGCAAAATATTTTATAACCCTTAGAAGTTTCCCTCTCACCCGCAGATCATCAACTACGATTCGCCGCGCGGAGGCGTGTCCGTGGTCACCAATAAGGGCGATACGACCACATCGTTCCTCCTAATTAAATCGGCGCGTCCGTCAGACTCCGGGCATTATCAGTGTAATCCATCAAATGCAAAGCCCAAAAGCGTTACAGTACATGTGCTCAATGGTAAGTAAAATCAACGACAACACACCCACACACAGCCACAGGATATCCACAAAAAATACAACAATGGGTCCTTGAAAAAGCAGGGAATGCACGAAATGAAACTGTGACAAAAACGGAATTGCACAATGGGAATGCTAATGGGTGACACGACGAGTTTTGGCCTGGAAGACAACAAAAAGTAATGGGTTGAATGGGCGGTTGAAAGTAATAGCGGAAAAGAATGCGATTGCAGCCGAATAAAAAGCCAGAAGTCGACATGAGCTAATGGTGAAGAAAAGTGGTTTCACATGGCAATAGATTTCCAGTTATGTGGCAGACCATTTACTGCTTGAATTTAGTCAAGTTTTCATAAACTCTTTTATATTTATAATTGTTGTCTTAATATTTGTTCAACTTGAATTTATTTGGGACTGCTTTAGGTGAAATTCTTGTGCAGTGAGTTGCTAGAAAGCTGTTAAATAAAGTCAAGGGGATTGAGCGATTACCGTGGCGTTAACGTGAATGCAATTATCTCAGACGTTTAAGAAGTAAATACGCTTTTAATTTAAGTTCGTTTAAAAAGAGACATTTAAGCGAGCGAATTTGCGCGCTAAGTTAAGTACCGACAGAAGCTCAAGAATTTCCGTCTCAGACCCAGAAGCGAGATCCAAATCCCCCCAGAGCAGTTAATACGCAGACGACCAGGCCTGAGTCAGCATATCAATGGCTGAAATCTGTCCAAAGGCAGCCATAGAAATTGCAGCTGCTAAAGCTCCTCGGGCAGCCCAAGAAGTGACACAAAAGCCCAGAAAGATCCAGGCCAGCGTAAAAAGAGTCCGGCAAAACAGAGTGCCAAAGGGCGCCAGAGGAAACGGAAACTGAAACAGAAACGGGGGAAAGTTGCAAGCTACCTAGAGGTGACAATAACTATCCAACAAAGTGTTGTTTAAACTCGGCAAAACTACGTGAAAACATCAACAAAAGAGTGTAAAGGAATCGGTTCGGAAGCCAATGAGCAAATATTGATTAGTGAATGGACTCGCTATATTGGGGAAAAGTGCCTGCTGATGGGGTAAGTGGTGTCTCTTTCAATTTTTCGAGCTAAACCAGACGGAAGCTCAGCTAAGTGAAATCTGCTAGAAAAGTGGCACGTGAAAATTATCTGGAATGGAGCGACAGAGTATTTCCCCGTAACCCAGCTGGATAACCATTATCCCCCGAACCCGTCACCTATTTATACTCATCTGCCGTGTCTGTAACCAACCACTCTGGAAACCGTCAATGTTTGCCAAGCAAATCTAGCCAGGGGGCAAAAGATATTTTCGGGAGATTTCCTAACATTCGAGGGTATATGAACTTTTTAATAAGGGTTGTTAGATCGAAACTCCTTAAAAGACAACGAATGACTTTATATTTCACTCAAAAATAGTTACAATTGTTGTTTCCCTTACTAAAACTTAAAACTAGCTCTATACATAATTAAGTAAGACTGTGGTTCATACGTATTAAGAATATCTTTATTCGTCGTGCTAAGTTCTTTCAAAAGCAGTGTATTTAAATGCACTTGCCTTACCAACTTTGGGGTCTCGGCCTCCTGCTGAATCTGGCACGCGTGCCACATGAAAATTATGCTTATGCTTCGCCCCTCTCCCGTAGATTGCCCCCTAACCACCTGCCCCTGCGACTGTCTAGGAAAACTCACAGCGGCAGCAGGAAAAGCTGGAAAAGCTAGAACAGCAGTTGCTGCACGCTACTTCCTTTGCGACTTTCACTAATGTCAAGTTGTCGTCGTTGTCGCAGCAACCGTGTCTGCTAGATAATGTCACACGGCGTTGTCTTTTCGCAGAGCATATACAATTATGCAGGCACTGCTAAAAAATCCTTGAACAACCAAGCAATTCATATTTCAACATTACATTTTTAGATTCAACAATATCGGGACTTAATAAAGAGTAAATAAGGAATGATTATTCTAAAGGTTTGACAGTATTTTCCGAACAGTATTTAAATGTTACATTGTAGAAGCTGAAGATTCTGTTACTGTTAATGGCTAACATTTGTAGCATACTTTTAGGGCTCCTTAGACAAAACTGCTGTAAGGAAGCTATTCTTATGCAATACCTTATAACCTACAGCATGTTAATTAATCTAATGCGTTGTTAAATAAGAAATCGAATTCCTAAATAGGATTTAACTTCTTCCTCCGATTTTTCCGAGTGTTAGGGGTCTGGACGAGGGGCACTCATCCCCGTCAGCATATTGCGCATGCAATGCGCGTTGTTTCCGTTAACTGCTTTGGCACACTTGTTTCTGATTATTATTATGTTTTGTCTCTTGTTCTGCTGCTTTTACCATTGTTCCTTGCCGTTACATTTTGCTTTGTTTGTTTGTTATTATTATATGCCGTCGACAGTGTTGTTTCTGCTGCCATTCCGCTTTTGTTACCATCGTGTTGCAGCGCCAAAGTTTTCCACTCTCACTCCTACGCGGCCATCTTGTGCTTACTTTTTGCATTATTTTCCTTTTTATTGCTCATTGTTACCTGTAATGCATATACAGCATATACAGCTATACAGCACATATAGCGACATCTGGTGAATCTCTGTCTTGTTTGGCTTGCCGCATCAGCAGCAGCCACTGCGTCATCAATGGGGTCAGAGTTCTCGGTCTGGTTCGCCGTCAGGCTTTCAGATTTTCTCACTTTCAGGCTTTCAGTTTCCGCCGAAGGACGGTGGACTTAAAGTGCAAGTTGGGACTTCCATTTCGCTCCGAACCGATCCTTGCCAGCTGCAGTGCATAAAATTGTTTTTCCTCTGCTAGGGCATCAAAAGTTATTAGGGGGCAGCACAAAGTTTTTTGATATCTTTTGTTTGCTGATAGAAATAAAAATTCCAATAAAATAGTGCCGAGTGGCGGCAATTCGGTTTGGTCTAAGTAAACTGGGTTTTTTCAGGTTATTTAAAAACTTTTATTATTATTGAAGCTATATTAATTTATATAATTATTAATATTGGAAATGGTAACAGAATTCCTTATGAAATACTCTTTTAATTAAGTCATATCTGTTTTATTTACATTTGTAATGTATCATTGAGCAATATTCATTACAAAATAGTATTTACACCCAAGTAAGCAAGGTTCGCAATCCTTGACTAAGGTTTTCACAATGTTGATTTTAGCTTTCTGTTTGTAAACTCCAGTTGCAAGTTGCTGGTGCATTTGAAGCTTTTGTACCTGCAACAGCTTCAGTAAGTTGTAAACAGTCGTCCGTTTTACTATTCTCGTTTTGCTGTTGCCTTTATTTCATGCCGCACAGTTGAAGATTTTTTTTGTTAGTTTTATTTAGCTGCTCGTTGTTTTGACTTTCGTGACAATCCAAGTATTGTTTCGTGCTTTTCCTTTATCTGTGCAGTTTTATTGTTTGGCCGCTTTCTGGGTGTCACCACCCACTGCCCTCTGTGGAAGGTGGTAATCCGTTTAAAGTTGCTACTTTATGTGACGCTAAGTTTTGATAGTCAAATGAAAATGTAACCCCTTTAAAGGATCATTGATTAATGCAGGGAACACAGTCAAAGATAATACAAAATATATTTCGATAATATTGAACATTATCATTTAACATTTGACATGGCATACAAATTTTAATTTAAATTTGATTATTTTAAATATTGTAAGTACAAGTATTCTTGATTTAAATTGTATGTATCGCCCATTGCGGTGATACTTTCTCACAGTGCACACTCACCCACCCACAGCCCAAAACAAACTACTTAACGTCTTTTCAGTTCGCCCAATGTCTGAGTATAAGGACAGCAATAAAGATGTAAATTAAACAGGTGTTTCCCATTCCGTTTCCAGGGGAGTTCCCAGCAGCAATGCAGCACGCGGCACCAGTGCATCCTCGCCCCTCGCCCACTCGCTGTCTGTTTGTGTACCTGTTTGTGTGCTTCTGCAGCTGGGCGCTTGCAGGTGGATCGCTGCGCTGCTGGGCGCCGCTCTGGCCACGCCCCCGCCGGTCCGTCCCGCCCGGCGGACGACAGGGAAGCGTCCTGGATCGGCAGGATGTGCGCCACTCGGCTGCGACATGCGCCACTTCCTCGCCAGCGTTCTGAGGTGGCGATGGCGATGGTGTTGGCGCTGGCACTGGAAAGGTACGCAGCAGCGGCATCCTTGGCATTATGTGAAGCCTCAATCGCGCAGGGAGGCGGCAACGTGTAGACAGCCCTTCGAGGCGGACATAAGGTGAGCTCAACGCCCAACACCTTCCTCAAGGCCACTCTCAACTCAATCGTAAGCTGTAACTATAATAACTATAACGTATGCATACAACATAACTCTATTGGTTATTGCGTTTTTCTATGAATCAGCGACGTATACGTAATATTTAGCACAAAACCGAAACGAGAAGAAAAAGAGAGAACGTAAATATATGATATACCTAACTATAGATAAAACCGAAATCAAGCCAAGTTGTCGCCTTTTTTTATGTACGACTTTGTATCATACAATGAAGCTATCTAAGTCTTTGGTTCCCTTAGAAATTGGAAATGGTGTAAATAGGCTGCTTAGCATACCTAGAGGCGCTTTTTTCGATCGACTCTTTCCAACCTTTGTAACTTTTATAGCCAAAATTAGGCAGATGGCACCCTACAGAAAGCTGCTAAACACTGCATTCAAAATACAAACAAGAAGCAAGGGGAAAATATATTCCGCAAATACCAGAACAGAAAACGCTTTCGACTGCCACTTTGCGACTGTTTCCTCGAAGCATGGAGAAATTCTCATTTGCATTTTGCGTAATCCTAATAGACAGATAAATGTTCAACCGAAAGGCAATTAGCACGACGCAAACTAAAAACATTCAACTTCAAGTACAGGCTATAGAAAAAACGAAAAAAAAACCTAGAAATTAAAGCGAAAAAAACTGTGTAAAATATAAAAGAAACTTAAACCCAAAGGGGAAAATTTAGCTACAAGTTAAAGGAAAATAAATAAAAAGAGAGCAAAAGCAGAACTCGTTGAGGGGAGAATTTTTCTTTTGGCTGCATCTGAATGGTTAGAAATTAAGTCATAAAATATGTAAAAGGGCAAACCCTCGAATAAGTTGTTTCGTTTCGTTCTTGTAATGTACAAATTAAATAAACGTAAGTATTACCCCACGTGCAGAGGAATGGAACGGTTTGAATTTAGGATACAATCGGCTGAGATGAAAAATTGTTGCACATTTCATAAATTTATTTGTTGTTACTCAATGCAAACGAAAATTAGTCAAGTGTTAAAAGAACGAAAAACATTATGAAATATTGAAAAAACTCTCTACAATGTTAAATTTAAATGATTATTCTGACGTTTTACAAGTGCTATTCGATTCATATTTCAATTGTTTATTTTCCATTTCCGATTCCTAGCTTAGTTTGGGCTACAATTTTTGTCTGACTAATTTCTGTCATCACAACAAACTTTGCCATAGAGCACATAGCTAACCAAATACATTAAAACGAAAAATAAATCGAGCGTTACAGAAAACAAAATACTATTGATAAAAATTAAAGTAAAGGGAAAAGTTTCATTAATCAAGCTAAGCATTAAGCAAAATACAAATTAAACAGTAATAACAGACAAAACACTATTGAAATACAGCATGAGTACTCAGAGACTAAACCAGGTCCCGACATTTTTTCCCCACGCTTTTTCCAATTACCATGTAAAATATCAACAGAGCATATAGACATTCAAATTCCATTCCATTCATATGAAATTTCAAGCGAATAATGCCTTTTAAAATGTGCAGGCTACAGGAATGGAAAAAGCGAATTCAAATTAGAAATCCCATTATGTTTGATGAGGCGTTTTATAGTTATTCGATATTTATTGCAAAAATGTCAACTGTCGATCAAATGCACACACAATATTTCTTTGTTTCACGTGATATATTTAAACTTTGCCAATAAAATTCTGTATAAAATTCCAATTTCATCAAGCATTTCAGATGGTGACGAATTCTTAAGTCTAAGCATTCAAAATAAATAAAGTATGACATGAAAACTAAAAGACCGCATAAAACTGAAGTAAATATTGTATATGTAAATGTGTATTTATAAAACTACGACATCAAGAAAGCTATATATATATATACATTAAAAACCTAGTTTATTAAACACACAGAAAATCGAAAAACTGAATCAACAATGTTATTAAAGCTATTAAAGCTAAACAAAAACGTAACATTTGAAAGTATTTAATTGAAAAATATGAGCCATACAGAAATACGATAAACCGAAACCGGAGTCGGAGCAGAAACTGAAGTAAAAAGAAAACTTTTTAAAATGTAAGAATTTAAAATGTGCAAATAACAAATGGATGAATGAGAAAACGAAAATAAAAGCAAAAACTGAAAAAAGGAAACTAAAAGAAAACTAAAGCATATTATGTCAACTGTTAATTGAGTTGTTTTAATGGTCAGATGCTGGATGGGTGGGTTAATGGGCCAACAAATGTGTAATAAATTATGCGTAAGTAAAACTGAAACAAGTCCTGCCTAGTCTACAACGACGCTCTAGCAAAATAAGGACAAAACCCATTTTTCATGCCCGGAAAGCGGAAGCAACAAGGGCTAGGATGTGGCATTAGCGATAATATAATGAAATGGGATTAATCATACGACATGTGGGCCAGCCGTAAGGGAGGCATAATGAATGCCGAGTCCTTGCAACACATTACACACACATTAACCAGGCTAACACGGTGCTCTCGCCGATTTCGACAATCCTTCTCAGCAATTACACACACAATTTAGAGACCCAACGCCATTACGTGCCATTACGTTACGTGAGGCCTTACGTCGCTCGTTTTTAATAAATATTAGCACATTGTTAAACAGTTGAGCGCGCGCTGATGGAAAATCAATATGTTCCCCTGCACTGCCCGCACAGCTCCGCTTTTATCCTTCGTCCTGTGGCGCTGCAAAGTATGCTACATACACATATTTTATTGACGAAAAGTTTCGCGGAAAAGCGTTGGGTTGGACAGTGGGCGGCACTTTATGCAAGCAAACCACTCAAGGACAAGTGGGCAATAAGCGCAGCTTTTATTGTTTCATATTTATCAACGCTTAAAGACAACGGAAAGCATTTAAAATAACAGCGCGTGCGAAAGTAAAAAAATTTTAAAAGTGAAGTTCCATTTAATGTTCTCTTTTATATCAGTTAGAGTAGCCCTTTTTTCCCAGTGTATCCGTTGTCGTGTCAGGCTGCAACGTCTGCGGCAAGGACAACATCATAATGTTTCATATATTATGTCCAGCCCTATAATTTCATCTCCCGAATGCATGACTTTCCAGCTATCTGTTCTCACTGCTACCTCATCCATGTGTAATTTGGCACTTTCAAGTGCTGCAGCTGCAAAATGCAATTGCTTTCAGTGGTGTGGGAGTGGGAGTGGGAGTGGCATGACACTCGATGTGGGCGTGGCGGGGGCATGCCACACCCGCATTATAATGCAGCAGCTGCACGGTGCCGTAGGTGTTGATAGCCTGTTTATGGATGTGGCGCAATGTGTGAATCCTGCGCTAGTCGCACCAATGGAATGTGGTCTGGTATATTTGGTTTTGCGTTGGATTAGTACGCGTTCGCTCCTGGATGTTGGATTTTTAGGAGCAAGCGGACATTGAATCCATCAAACAGATGGAGATTGGTTGATTGATTGCGCCGGGATTGATGTGTTGGTGTTAATTAGATTACAACGAGCGGAGATGATTGGTACAGAATGTCCCAAAGTAGAAAATTACATAAACCGAATGTCGATATGCATTACTGAAGCATTGAAAGGTGCGAGTATTGGTATTACACGTCCACTTCCTTAGTTAATTTGCAAATTGCTTGCGGATTTGATCCACATGTTAATGCAACGGAAACTGCTTTTTCCATTTACCAAATCGAAAGAGAAAGTCGTCCGATTGGCTGGTCCGAATAAGCCCAGCTGACAAATATAAATGTACACGGCTTGTTTCTTCTTTCGCTGCTGCAGTTTATGGTATTAATACATTTTCCGTGGCCTGCCCTTCAGCCCGAATTGTCTGCTCACTTCTCTTTAGCACTCTCAGTTATTTTGTGGCCTTTTTCGGCCGAGGGTTTATTGAATTGTTACAGCAGCCGATTGTGATAAATCAATGACAAAACGGCCGAGAAAATCCGCGCGTTAATAAATGGGCGAGCTCCGTGAGGTTTATTTAATTTGCCATAAATACTCTTGCTCTTGGGACTCGGCCATAAAGTACATCACTCAGCAGATTGACTGGGACCAGGCCATTGCTTAATTAAGGCCAAGCTGTGGGATCCTCCGATTTCCATCTGCATCGGCCGAAAAACACAATCTGCCCTCACCGAAAGTATTTTATTAGATTTCTCGCCCAGCTGAGCAGCCTCAAGATAATCAGCATTAAAATATATGTGCATAGGGTAAAGTTGCAGCCCAATACAGTCGGAGTCGAAATAATAGGTCTATTAATTTGAAATGCTTCCTAAGCTGTTTCAGTATATTTTCTTATTTGTAGTCTGGTACAATTTCCAAAAAACGAAGCATAAATTAAAGTAAGAACCATGACTCAAGATATTTCACGATTAAGAGCTCAAGCCAAATTCTGGTCTTCTGATCCTATCTGTATAACTGCTAAGTCCAATTGCACCATGAAAACTGCAACGTTCAACTCTTATTGGTTTAAGTGCCCCTCTGTGGAAATGTGTGCATAAATACGAAAGCTTGCCCGGCTGCTTACGTGTGTACGGACATTTATTACGGTCCATAATCCGCAAAGTCTTATGCGTGTCTGTTCTATCTGCCTTGAACCCTTCACCCAGCATGTGTGCATCGCCCACAAATGGAACTATAATTAAATTAAAAGTTTTACCAGCAGTTGCAGCCAGCAAAGAATGGCTACGCAGAGTGGCCAGAGAAATTTCTTCTCCTATTAAAACGAAATTATTCAGCAGGAACCGCACCAGCTCGCACACAAAGAGCTAAATACGCTTTGTAGCGGTCGTTCGCCCAACGCGTCGTATACTTAATGCGCTAAGCAGTTTTTCGGATTAACTGCCGCCGAATGTCTAAACTGTTCCGCAACCTAACCGCAACTAGAGATATGTATTGTATTGAAAGCTTGCATTAAAAGACTTCATTCAACATAAATATAAAAAAAATATTGCTCTAAAATAAATACTTTCATTATTTGTTATATTCTCTTCTAAGAATACATTCGTGTAAAATTCGCTAGCTATAATTTTCCCACCATTTAACCCTTACCGCCTAACAGTTCGAGCACCTTCTCTGCCCGCCTTTGGCTTTGGGGGCGTGGCAAAAAGGATTATTACCGGCGGCAACAGAATAGAAAAATAGACTCGAGTAGAGCTTATATTCACTTGGGTTTAACTTGAATATTTAGTTCTTTCTAGAATGTATTTTCTGCATTATTTTTCAACCAAATTTTTAAATAATGTTTAAAAATAACCCCATATTTGTTTGCTTAATACAAACTTGTATGTATAATCCATATGCCATCGGGCTGCAGAGTAACCGGCATTCCGTGGAGCTATTTTGCTATTCACGCTCCACACACATATGCATATTTTGTTGTTGTTCTCTTAGCTGTATAGGGTTTCTTGAATGAGGGTCAGTTTTATGCTGGAGGCGAACTCCGTTCTTGTTCTGCAGTTAGATTTAGATTTAGAGATAAAGATACGAGATCTCACCCCGAATGTGCGGCTATAAATACATATGTTTTAATTTCCGCACTTTTGGGTTACTCCTGGCAACCAAAACTGCTACCACTTCTCTGCATCTTTTTCGATTCAGAAGCAATGTCGAAATGAGGTCTGGATTAAAGGCAAATGCGGATGTGAACGTTGCGTGTTTC